GATAAGGATTATCATAAGCCAAAGAATCTTTAAAATGACCCAAAAGTTGAACCACAATCCACTTGGGAGGTCAAAACTTTTCTATTATCCAGACCCGAAGTCTTGCAAATTCCAAATCACACGAGCAAAATAATATTGGCATATGAAAACCAAAAATTTGCATTACTTCTCCTACCAAATTAAAACTTATTAGAATAGATGACCAATTCTTTATATTGGTATGAACACTGTTATTAGGTTCATAAGTAGGACAAAAACAACGCTTTGAACACCTATTTGGCATTGATAATTGGTTTATTGTTCTTATCAATAGAATACATAGATTAATTAGAATAAGTAGTTTTTTAGTTACTTATTTGGCTAAAATGGATTCTTTGAAACGATTTCCCTTAACAAAAAATTCAGCCATTTTGTTTTGCAATAAGACTTATAAAACAGGCCCTACATTTGGCCCTCAGCTACTTCCTTTGATAAATAAAGATCAAGAGCTATAGATTTCACCAAAGAAATCAGGAAACAAGAAATTAAGTCTACGCACATGTAAGATTAATGTAAAGTGCATTATTAGCGTGGAAATTACCTTGAAAATCAGGTAGTCCAAAGGATGTGCATCAAGTTGCATCGCCTTAATATCGTTTGAAATTACTTGGTACATCAACAAAGTTTGGTTCTGTTAAAAACCAAATCAAATCAAGGAATGATCTCAAATTCAATATAAACCCATCATATTTAAGGAAGCATAAAATCCAGAATCATATGATTACCTGCCAAAGAAGAATTTCGTGCACGGTAGTTGTCTTGGGTCTCCATCAGCCCATCAGCACAACAATATATATATATATATATATATATATATATATATATATATATATATATAAATGTTTTCTTTTCCCCTAATTTACTAACAACTTTCAGTGCCAACTCCATTGGAATCAGATGATCAGCTCCAAGACTATTAATTAAGAGTATTATGGTAACAAGTACCTAACTTGAAATGAATGGTAAAAGACCGAGTTATGCACAGAAATGTCAATATTATATTGACCTGCATCTTTGTATGATGGCCAAGCATACGATGACTCGAGGAAATACTGGTTTTCAATATATATGAATTTCTTGGCTGATCTTATTTCGTGGATATATGCTATCTCAATTCTTTTGTCTACCCTCAATTCTTTCCCGTGGACAATGTTATGCATTAAATAGAACAAAAGGGAAATGTAATGTTTTCCCACCACACTTTTAACATTATATCTCCTTAGTATATAATTCTAACTTAGTAACAAACACTTGAACAGAAAACAACAAATAACTTGATCTTAGTAGTGTTTACTATTTCACTATTTAGCTATAACCAAATCTCATGACTTAGTAACATAGTTCGGTAGTATTGTCCATTAAATTTGAGTTTGTAACTTCTATTTCTAGATCGATCATTTATCATCCAAAGAACTTTTTTTTCATAAAAAGACGCTTATCATAAGCCTTTGAGATACATTTTTGGCACATAGTTTGGCTCTCTAATTGTATATAAGTGGGGAAGAGCATATGTTCTTCAGAGAGGGAAACACATATTTGAGAATTCTACCAAAAATCTAACTCTTTTGGGACTAAGGCTTGGATGTTGTTGTTGTACCAAAAGGCTAACTGGACCTACCAAATCAGTATAGTAAAAAATATAAAAACTCCAAATACACAATCTTATTTTTTGCAACTTTAAGAACTTGATTTGAACCTTAAAAAATCAATGAAATTTAAGTGTAAAATCTAAGGCGATACATGCTAGGATAAAATATCTAAAGTGTAAAATTTCAGCTCACAACAACTGTAGCTCTGTTAATAAAAAAGCAAATGCTGAAAACCAGAGACCAAAAAAATGAATTGAAGCTCACTCCATTTAAACAAATGGTAATACATATTAATTATTGAGACATAGTTTGTTACCTTCCATGTGAAAGGTTATGAGCTAGAAAAAATGGTCAAAACTAAAAGCAAGAAATGAGATAAAATTACATACCTTGTTAAGTTTTATTTATCCAAAAACCAAGTGTGGGAAACCAGAGAAATTACACATCGCTTGAAGCTCTATTTATCAAAAAGCAAGTGCAAGAAACCAGGGAGTAAACCTATTTCTATGAAGCATTGAAGTCCATTCCATCTAAATATATGGTAATTTTAGCAGCACGTTCATATACTGTCGAAATATATGATATGGACAGCTTGACCAAGACAAACGACTTACCCTTAAAGATGCAGATGGCTTTGGTGGTTCTCTGTTCCAAATTGGGGCGATATATTTATACCATAAACCTACGCAACGCTTTTCCTTCTACACCACCAGGGTTCAATTCCTGAGATCAATTGCAACTGAAAAGGATGAGGGTGAATAGCAAGGATGAAGTACCAAATGAAAGAATTAGCCAAACCCTTGAATTACAGTCACAAAGGGAAAGAGGATAGTTAACCGTAGAGAACATAGAATTTAACCTCTTGCCGATTGCAGTCCTGTATCGTTTGTAGCCGATATATGTTTGTCCGATTTAAATGAGCAGCTAGACGAAGGGACGCACATGGTGAAATAGCAAGTTAACGGCATGAGGATGGTAACCGAAGGGTATATTTAGGGTGGACAGTGTGGAAAGCATAATGTACAACAACATAATGCTTTGAGTGTTACACCAACAAATTTTTATTTCCAAAAGGGTTCTAACTCTCATTGGTGTTTATAATATTTTAGATATCCATGTCATTGAATTTCTTATTTCAACGTTTCTATGTTTATCCTTAATCACGAAGAAGAAACACAGAGAGATTCCCAATCAAAATTTTAACTGCACCATCGAAATAGGTTTCTTCATAGGATAGAAAATCAACATCGGAGAGGGTTAAATTTATTGGCGTTTTCTTTTTCTTCAGCATCATCGGTAGGATCGTAGGGGATGCCACAGTTTTATTTGCATCAAAGTCGCGGTAGGAGAGGAACATAGGAGATGATGCACTGATTTCTTTTTCTTTACTTTTCAGCTTCCGTTTCAAAAGCCCGGATAACTACTGTGATGTGACTTTGTTGAGGACTTAAATGCAAATACTAGTTAATTATGATAACTACAGTGATGTGGCATAGTTCTTGAAGGTCATTGGTTAAAAAATGCCGGGCTCTGAAACCTATGTAATTTAACAAGCGCCGTAGAATTCTCCTAATTATAATTTTAGATCACTTACGTGTAAAATTGACCATACGTTAATGTGACTAAAGTTATTCTTATAGTCACTATAAGTGAGATGTCACACTTTTGTAAACATCATACTCCCTCCGTATTTTAAAGTTCCATACACTTTTCATTTTGGAATGTATTTAAAAGTTCCATACACTTTACCTTTTTGGTGAGTTTTTCTTTAAAAATACTCAATTACTCTTATTTTTCTACTTTTTATCTTTTCTTTCCTACTTTTTAACTTTTTCTCTTACTTTCTCTATACTGTTCATTACACCTACTATTTCCCCTTAAATATTGTGTCATAACCTAACGTATAGGTATTTTAAATACGGAGGGAGTATATTTTAGTCATATTATAAAATTGTTTTATTAGAGTAACTTTTTACATAGTATATTGTAATAAATTATTTAATATGTTTATTTATTTATGTTTATATTTCATTTAATGCAAGTATCAAAACAATGAAGAATGTTTTTACTTGAACTGAAATTGGTCGGTGTGCCCCTGGTTAAGTCTGGTATGGTCTGAACTGTTTTGCTCTGGTTGGGTAAATGTCTGATCTTTGTGTGTATTTTGTAACTATGTAAGTCAGATCTGATCTGTTTAAGTCGGTCTAGTCTGTTTAAGTCTGATCTGATATGGTTTGGAGTAAAAATAATCAAAGCAAAAACACCTAGGTGCCGTTTGGCAACACTTTTTTCGACTTAGAGGCCGTTTGGAATCATTGTTTTTCGGCTTATCAGGCTTATCAGCCAACTTTTTCACCAAACACGTAATTTTTGCTTTCGCGCGCTGAATTGTGTAATAAGCAGAAAAAGTAAGATTGAAGCTACTTTTCTGGTGTATTGGTTGAAATTACTGTAGATGATCATTTTAGCTATTTTTACATATAATTTTTTCTTTATTTTATCAAAAAAAATATTTTAAAATTAATTTTTCTTAAATCAACAAAATCGGCCAATGCAGGCACTTCAGCCAGAACTTCATAAATTTCAACAGAATCAGCCAAAACAGCTGCTTTCGTGCTACCAAACGGGCTCTTATTAGGCTTATCAACCAACTTTTTCACCAAACACGTAACTTTTGCTTTCATGCACTGAAGTTACATATAATAAGCAGAAAAAGTAAAGTTGAAGTTACTTTTCTGTTGTATTGGCTGAAGTTAGTGTACATGATGATTTTAGCTATTTTTGATATAATATTCTCTTTATTTTATTAATAAAATATATTTTAAATATAGCTGTTTCATAAGTTTCAGAAGAATCAATCAAAACAACTGATTTCAGTATTACCTAATGAGTCTAAAACCAAACGGCAAAATCATTTCATCCTGTGCACGACACGGGTAAAAATACTACTCCAGTTATTACACAATTCAGAACGCATAAACAAAAATTATGTATTTGGTGAAAAAATTGACTAATAAGTCTGATAAGCCGAAAAAAGTATAACCAAACACAGTCTCTGAATTTCAACAGAATCAGTCAAATCAACCCATTTTAGGATGTTTTTACTTGGACTGTAATTTGCTGGTCTGGTCTGGTCTGGTCTGGTCTGGTCTGAACTGGTCTGGTCTGGTCTGGTAAGGTCTGGTTTCTTTGTATTTTTATAACTATCCAAGTCTGGTCTGGTCTGTTCTGGTCTGGTCTGAACTAGTCTGGTCTGGTCTGGATTGGTCTGGTCTGGTCTGGTCTGGGGCAAATTACGATCCAAGTAAAAACATCCTTTAATCTTGCTTAATTCTTTTGTTGTGCTGTAAAAGTTAAAACGTGGAAAGGAACAATAACCAAACGGAGCTTGATTATTAGGCCGGAGTACGGAGTATGTTCACAACACATGGATTGCTGAGTTGTCGTCACCTGCAAACTGAATCTTCAAGTTGAGCTTGAGACCCGAGTGGCAGTCCGAGGGAGATGATGATAGCAGACGGAATCGAAGACGAAGATAAATGGCTTGCCGAGGGCATCGCAGGAATTCAGCAAAACGCCTTCTACCTGCATCGAGCTATGGTATCAATCAATTTTTCATTTTGAGAACCCTAACCTCCTCATGCTAACTACAATCCCGCTCACTCAACCGCAGGATTCGGATAATCTCAGAGAAGCTCTCAAGTACTCCGCTCAATTGTTATCTGAACTGAGGACCTCGCGTCTTCCGCCGCATAAATACTACGAGCTCTGTAAATCCACTGATCATCTTTTTCTTTGCGTTTTGTTGTTGTTGTTGTTGTTTTCATATCATAAATTCTCTGTCTTTTTCTGTACATGATTGGTAGACATGCGAGCATTTGACGAGTTAAGGAAGCTGGAGCTTTTCTTCAAGGATGAGGATCGCCATGGCTGCTCAATTGTTGACTTATACGAACTTGTCCAACACGCCGGCAATGTTTTACCTAGACTGTTAGTCTCATCAATCCAGCTATATTCATTAGTTCTGTCGACACAAAAGTATGCTTTTAATGGACATGCATGGTCCTTTTGCTCAATATGATATTACTAGTTACTACCCATTTTGAACTAAGGGTATGTTTGGCACAACTAGCTAAAAAGATACTTTTACGAGCTTTTTAGTAACTGTTAGCTTTTAGTGACTGAAAAGATCTTAAAAAGAAAAGGTGATATCTGTTTGGTAAAAAGCTGACTGTTTGATTTAGTTCGGTTTGTTATACAAGCTGTTAGGACTAATTTAAACTAAAAGTCACGAGCTTTTCTCAGATGCTACATCTGGTAGCATCTCAAAAAAGATCTTTTAATTTTTGAAAAGCTCTTAAAAAATGTCATGCCAAACATACAACTAGAGTCTTTTAAGGTCTTTTTAAAGAATAGAGAAGCTAGAAGCTAGAGTCTTTTGTGTGCCAAACATAGCCTAAAAAGTGCCAGAGACCCAAGAAGTATTTGTAGTAGTTTTGTCTTTGTGCTAAACACAAGACTTGATGTAGCATAAGATAAGATTTATATTTTCATGTTACCAAATTTGCTCATTGCCATGTATCTTAAGTGTTGCCTTGGCCTTCTGGAGATTGAAATACAGGAATCCTTTTGTTACCTTGTGGGAAAATATAATGATTCTTTTGACAAAAAAATGTCGGATTTGTCTTTTTAGTTGTTACTTTGATCTTTTTTCTTACTCCTACCATTACTTTTTTAGACTTTGGTCATGACATGCTAGTTGCCTAGTTAAGGAATCTGGTGTCTTTCAATGTGCCAGAGCATATATATAACTATGTAAGTTAAATAAAATGTAGCCTTATGTCAGGTATCTCCTATGCACTGTTGGGTCAGTGTACATCAAATCAAAGGAGGCTCCTGCAAAGGATATACTGAAAGACCTTGTTGAAATGTGCCGTGCTGTTCAACATCCTGTACGTGGACTTTTCCTGAGGAGTTATCTTGCTCAGATTAGCAGGGATGAATTGCTAGATATTGGTTCTGAGTATGAAGGGTAAAAGTTCTGGCTGCCTCTATTTCGTATGCACCTGTCAGTATTTGAATGCCTTATCTGTTGTATAATTCAAGGAAGTGTAATTCTAGGGTGCAGAGAGAGGATTGTATTATTTTTTGGACACTATCTTCACTGTTTTACTTCTTTCTCAAGTTGCTAGTAGTTGACGAGATGCTATACCACATTTCTTCACACAGAGAAGGCGATACTGTCATGGATGCTGTAGATTTTGTGTTGCAAAACTTTACAGAGATGAATAAACTATGGGTTAGGATGCAACACCAGGTAATGGAGGTCCTGGCAATCTCTTACTCGATTTCACATCTCACATGCATAGCATCTGCATGGTTGCATCCTAGGAAGCTAAAATGAATCATGAGAGCATGTTTTGGTCATGCAGGGCTTATAGTGCTTGTGATACATTCATTTGCTTAGGTGATCCTGAGTTCAGGCCCTCTTTCGGGCTTTCTGGTCTGCAGGGACCTGTCAGGATTGAAGAGAAGCTGGAAAAGGAACGGAGCGAGCTTCGAGACCTAGTAATATCTATGACTGAATACCTTTTTATCCCACTTATTTAATTTCTTAATGATATACAACAATTCCAATCATATTTTAGGTTGGGAAAAATTTGCATGTCCTTAGTCAGATAGAGGGCGTTGATCTTGAAATGTATAAAGAAACTGTGCTTCCTCGAGTGCTGGAGCAGGTATGATTATGCGGTACAAATGTTTGTGTGATACAAAGCATCATATCAATCTTGTCATATATAAGGCGCTAATAAATTGCTTCTCATAGGTTGTCAACTGTAAAGAAGTGCTTGCACAATATTATTTGATGGACTGCATAATTCAGGTCTTTCCTGATGAGTACCACTTGCAGACTCTTGAAATACTATTGACTGCTTGTCCCCAACTTCAAGTATGTACCAGATTATCATTGATGTCCGCAGTGTTCTTTGCGTTCAATGCAGATGTTAATAACTTTCACATGATAAGCCATAAAATACAATTTCTTTTATTATAGCCTGCTGTGGACATCAAGACTGTTTTATCACGCTTGATGGATAGATTGTCAAACTATGCCACTTCAAGTCCTGAAGTAAGAGTTTGTCTCGTCACTTCTACAAAAAGTTGTACTCATTCCTAATCTTATTCTTCGTGCATTCACATTGAACTTGCTAGGTCTTACCTGACTTCCTTCAAGTCGAAGCATTTTCCAAGTTGAGCAGCGCCATTTGGAAGGTAAGTCAGATCATCAGCACCTTCATCCCAACTATGTTGGGACCGATGACATGAAATTTGTAGTGTCATTAATGGTCTAAAATTAGTTAAACTATTAATTCGTGCAAATGTAATCCTACTTTTGTGATCTTTTTATTCTGTTGACTTAGTCTTACTTTTCTTTTTTTGTTGAAGTTTATTAGTTTTTCTGTCATGAATAAGTTGTTGGCAATACAAAGTCCATCTTGCATCTTCAACATTATTTTCTTGCCTCCAGAGATCCTTCATTAGCCACTATTAGGTATTTTGGATAAATCTAAGAATTTCTGAATTCATATAGTTGTCCCTGTGGTTATGTTTTCTAAATATAAGCATGCTATTCTGCTGTTACATGAATGCAAATTCACAGTAGTGACTATTGACACTTATGTTATATACAATAAGTGAAGATACTGTCAAGTTTTCTTATACTCTCAATGTGGTACACTGGTACATGGATTTATGGAAAGTTTAGCGCTCTTATATGTAAAAGTTCTGGGTTCTTTATGTATGGGAATGCAGCTTGCTATTAATGTAGCCACTTGTCGATATTTCATTTTCAGAAATTAACAGTTTTTCAATGGCAGGTAGTAGAAGCTCAAGTTGACATGCCTATAGTTGGAGCTGTTTCGTTGTATGTCTCTCTTTTGACTTTTACACTTCGTGTACATCCCGATCGGCTTGATTACGTGGATCAAGTGCTGGTAAGTTTTTTCTATTTGATGGCAAAAAGTATGGGTCAGTAGTTGGTTTATGCAAAGTCACTGGCTCACTGCCACATCTTTTGCAGTGAGGCCTTTAATTGCTATGATACTCACATTTCCTCACATAATATGTTAGCATTGTGCTTCTACCCATCTCTTGTGTAATTTACCTCAACTACTCATGCAACAGTGGGCAACCTTTTCTAATATACTCATGGAGACTTGGACTATATGTATTATTTGTTCCTTTACTATTCTGTTTTTAAAAAAAGGAAGAATCCAATTTGAACCAAAAGTGCTGAGCTGATCTGGCAAAATTATGTCACATAACTGTCCAGTACTCCGTATTATATACAGACAGTCCAAAACAAGTTCATCTAAATGATTTTGAACCCTCCATGATATCTATAATTCCTTTCATTGTACACTTAAAACAGATTTTAGTTTCTATTTTATCTGTGCTTATATTATTGATGATTGACAGGGAGCCTGTGTTAAAAAACTCTCTGGCAAACCAAAGCTTAATGATAGTAAAGCGACAAAACAAATTGTTGCTCTCCTCAGTGCTCCACTAGAGAAGTATAGTGATATTGTCACAGCACTAACACTCTCTAACTATCCACGAATCATGGACCACCTAGATGCTGGAACAAATAAAATCATGGCAAAAATTATCATTGAAAACATTATGAAAAGGGATACATGTGTGTCCACCGCTGACAAGGTATTATGTTCACTGATTTACTTTCGGTTATGTTACCTATAACCAATGGGTCTATGACGCAGCAGCTGGATTTGTCTTCCCATTCAGGTTGAGGTGTTGTTTGAATTAATAAAGGGTCTCATCAAAGATTTGGGTGGAAGTTCTTCAAATGAGGTTTCGTTATTTATCCGTTCCATTTGAATTCCTTGATTTTTACTATAATGCTGCGTGTAGCACTTTTACATTGAACATCTTAGTTAATTTTAGGGGTGTCAAAAGAGTCAATTTCTCCATCGGTCCATCTAAAGTTGAACTAAATCTTTTCAGTCTATCCGTTTTAAAGTTTAAAACAGTGGATTGATCTATGAACGTATAACGTATTGACTGCCCCCATCCATTAACGATTTATTTAACTGCTTCTTACTATATTTGCTGAGTATCAATATGTGAATGACTACGTACACATTGAGAAAACTGTTGCATCTGCCGCACATGCTGAGAATAACATTGAGGAATTACAAGCTTTTTCCAATATGATACATCCATTATTTTTATTTTTTAATGATTGTTAATCCATGGGATCATATCTTTAAAACACCCTCTGGTTTATGAGAGTCTATTGGACCTATTGAATGTTCTCTTATTATCGATTTGTTGCTGATTACCATCTGATTCTTATGAGCATGTTCAGAATGAGTATGCATTGAGTGTTTTTAGGAAGTGCTTTCTCATCTAAGCACTTTAAAGTGTTCTTGCGTTAAAAAGCTCCAACCTGGTGTCTTGTTGTATAAGCTAAAACAAGTGTTTTCTATGGAGTACTAGTACTTTTTATTTCCTTGCCAAAAACTTCTTTGAAGTACTTATCTTTCTATAAAAAATACTTATTCTTTGAAAATAACTAAATAAGTCATCCAAAATACACTCTATATCTGCAAAAGGGATCATCATACACATTGCTCAATCATTATACACATTGAGAAGACAAAAAGAATATTGATGCCCAGGATATCGATCTGTGAAAATTTGTCAATGGATATAAATTTGATGAATTATATTAAATGGATCATAGATGAATCAGATTCTTTTAATGAATTTTATCGGAATGCCGTTTTATCCAATCCATCAATTTCCACCCCTAGTTAATTTATCCTCCCCCCATTACCCACGAAAATTGTGATATGTTTTGATTAGCTGCTCCAAATAAATGGCTTGTTCTATGTTGGTGCTGTGTTGGTTAACAGCTGGATGAGGAGGATTTCAAGGAGGAACAGAATTCTGTTGCTAGACTACTACACATGTTGTATAATGATGATCCTGGAGAGATGTTAAAGGTAATTACTCTTTCTATGCAGTTGTACTTCCTATGCAGGAGTGATGAATGATGATTATGATGCAAAATGTATTTTCACTCACTTCAATATCATACAAAATAGTAACTTTATGGGGCCGTTTGCTGATAAGAAGCATTTGCAATTTCTTTTTCTTTCTGAAACTTGGAGAATAGTAAAAAATAAAATGTACTAAACATTTTTTGAAATATGAAAAATTGGAAGTTGTTTGCCAATTTTTTTCCTATCACCCAACTCTACAAAGACCACTTCCGTGGCTCCCTAAATCAGTGACTGTCACCCCAAACTTTGGAAATTAAGCAAAGCCACTTAGTGGAAGGGTTAGAGAATGCTATGAAAATGACTAATATATCTAATAAAAATTAATACCTTTAGATGACCTTCATTGTTGGACACTGTGGCCCATGGAGAGGATATTGAACTTAATTCCATTGCATTCCCTAACCGTTTTACTAACCCATTCACTACACATAGTTTTTTTTTTGTTTGGAGGTAGATGTTGATAATCGTTTTTACCAAACTAGAAGATGATAAACAGAGAACACGTATAAATACTGGGAAACAAGGGAAAATTGAAAGAGGACACTGAAGCACATATTTTATGTGTGATGTCTCCTTTTCAGTCACCCATTTTTTGAAGTTGAGCCTTGTAGTCCAGTACAGTTCTTGGCACTTCATAAATCTTAATCTGTTTTACCACATTTAACCACAACGTTTTGTTTTAGATTATAATTAAATTTTGAGGGGGGGACGCATTAGGAAACGCCTTTCCTTCATTGATAGATTCTTCTGCATTTATTTAATCATTTATTATTTTGTAAATTCAGATAATATGCACTCTGAGAAAGCATATTTTGGCTGGAGGTCCAAAGCGCCTGCCATTTACAGTTCCTCCATTAGTTTTTTCTGCATTAAAGGTTTGTTCAATGTATCTTTTCCTTTGGGAGGGTGGGGGCTTCTGAAGGCAAAATCTTGTTAGGAGTTGTGCAGTAGTACAGTAATATTTAAATGAGTTTCAGGACTTTCGCAGTAAAAAAGTCTCATTAGACATAGTGTCCTACATCATACTTCATGCTAGTGTGCAAAAGTATCACTGAAAGATTTAGGAGTTTAATTGCACAGTCATTGTTTACATAACTGAAATCTGAAGATAATCATACTTATAATCATATTTGGAAGCAACTTTGTCCGCAACCTTTTTAATTCTATTATATTATTGTTATTGCTATTAATTGTGGTTGAGTGTAAGGGCACTTTTGGGGGAAACAGGTTTAAGGATTGCATTTTGATTTTTTGACATGTAGTTGATACGAAGATTACAAGTTCAGGATGGAGATATAGTTGGAGAAGAGGTTCCTGCCACACCCAAGAACATTTTTCAGTTGTTGAGTCAGGTAATGGAGTTCAGATATGGCAAACATCTTGGAATGCTTGTATTTACTCAAATTACATTCACCCTCAAAGTGTTTTGTAATCATGGTCAAGGAGTGTGATACGTCGTTTGAAACTTTAGTTTGTGATCTTGCTTTTGTTGGTTGATCTCTTAAACCCACCATCAGGCACTTTATATATGTTTATGTATGCATTGTTGCTGCAGTGCAGATTTCCTTGTTTTTTCTAGCATGACTCCCTGATGCTATAACATTGCTTCTTCTAACCATTTTATCGTATGCACCTATCTTCTTGCAAATGCGAAGGAGAAATGCTTGGAAGAGCCTTAAAGTTCTTTGTTTCCATTTTTTTTGTTTTCATCTTTCCTTTTCAAACAATTGTTTGTTAATTATGTTTCTTCATCCAGACCATTGAGACTCTCTCAGCAGTTCCATCTCCTGAAATGGCATTGAGGTTGTACTTGCAGTGCGCGGAGGTACTTAATTTACCTATGTTTTGCTATATTTTATTCAAGGGTCATCTATGAATTTAAACGTACGAGTAAAACGATGTTTTGAATAACTACATTTTGCTATAAACTCTCAACTTACAACTTCTTATTGTTTTCTCAAAACACATGCGTTGCTCATAGAGAAACATTCTTTATAGGTTTCTGATGATATGCACCCAGCCAGAATATATGGTAGCCTGGATAAATGAACAGTCTGTTTAACATTTTTTCTTTCACGAGGATCTGCATAGTTTGTGGCTGTAGCTGACATAGTGAATATGGCTTTGACATTGCCATTTTTATTCTGCTACATCAATGTTTCTATTCCATTAACAATGCATCTTGGCATTTTTGTCATAATTTATTGCTCCCATAATTGAATGAGAGAAGATTTCATACTGGAAGTGATTTGAAATGTTGGTTTCTTTATTTTGATTTAAAAAAAAATTGTTTCAATCTTCAGGCTGCCAATGACTGTGATCTTGAACCGGTTGCCTATGAATTTTTCACTCAAGCATTTGTGTTATATGAGGAAGAAGTTGCGGTAATTAGTTAATTACTCAGAAGAGTGCATTGTGGTTGAATATATTTGAGAGTAATGAGGTAATTTAATGGTGATATGGCATTTTTTTGTTCTGATCCTGCCCTTTCCATTTTTAGGATTCTAAAGCGCAAGTGACCGCTATCCACTTAATTATTGGAACTCTTCAGAGGATGAATGTTTTTGGGGTGGAAAACAGGGACACCTTAACTCACAAAGCCACTGGGGTAGTAAAACTACATAATTTAAGATCTCTCCCTTCCTCTCCCTTTGTCTCTGTCTAAAGCTTCATTCAATTGTGGTTTAGTATTCAGCAAAGCTTCTGAAGAAACCTGATCAGTGCAGAGCAGTTTATGCTTGTTCGCATCTCTTTTGGGTTGACGAGCAAGATGGAATCAAAGATGGTGAAAGGTTAAGCCTTAAGATTATTCTGGTTTGAATTTATCTGATATAGTACAAATTTTAGAATATACTGTGATGAACTTTCTATTAAAAGGGTTACTCCCTCTGCCCCAAAAAGGAGTCATGTTCCAAACTCGGTTTATGCTATAAAAAATGTCTAGCTTGATCAAATGAAGCTATTTGTTTATGTTATTTATCAAAATCCTCCAAAAAAGTCACAGATAAATTAAACCAATAAGCAAATTTAAAGACATCGAGTACATTGATCAATTAAGACTAATAGAACAATACAAAATTATACTAACAGTTCGCAGAAATTGATCAAGAACACACAATGCAACTTTTATTGAATAGGCAACAATGGCTGAAGCCCCCAAAAGATAGAGATAGTACTCTGATCTTCCCAGTACAGACTTAAGAGTCAAAACAGCCTACCTTCTATTCTACCCTTCACCTCTATTTATACTCACTATTCTAATATTATTCTTATTCTCATTTATTATTATTCTATGTAGGTCCCTAACAATACTCCCCCTCTAAACATCCACCTTGCCCTCAAGGTGGGTAGTAGGAAGTAGCCATGATCTTCTGCTTCCTCTTCATCCTGGCGCTTCTACCTTCCCATACCTTCCCAATATCTAACTGATTTCTGAGAAAAGAGCTTCCATACTTGATTTTTCCAATTCACAGATGTTTCTGCAGCATATATTATCTCTGGTGAATTTTCATTTTCTTCCTTAGTCTTCAGGCCTTCAATAGCCACAAATATTTTCATGCTTTCCTGAGGTATAATACTTACAACATTAGAATAGTGACTAAAAATAGAGGTGGAGGGTAGAATAGAAGGTAGGCTGTTTTGACTCTTAAGTCTGTACTGGGAAGATCAGAGACTATCTCTATCTTTTGGGGGCTTCCGCCATTGTTGCCAATTCAATAAAAGTTGCCTTTTGTGTTCTTGCTCAATTTCTGCAAACTGTTAGTATAATTTTGTATTGTTCTATCAGTGGTATCAGAGCACGTTGATTACTGTGCGCAAATGGATTTAAGATTGAACGGGCTGGAGAGAAAACAGAAGAAAACTACGGAGATGTTGACAGCGATTCTCGCCAGATTGGATGCGAGAGATCAAGATCGATCGCGAAGCAGGTCACATACATCTGACGCATCACATCGCAAATTACTCACCAGTTCGCAGGAGTCGCAAACTATTTCTTCTGGTTCGCAGGCGCAGACGGTTACTGTTAGTTCGCAATTGCGAATTTCTTCGCACCGTTCGCAGTCATGAACAGAGTCTTCCTCATCATCGCACACATCGCATCACATTTCTCATCATCGACGTAAGCAACATTCGACTAACTCAGAGGCATCGGAAGACCGATCTAGGAACAAGAGACATCATCCGCCTTATGACAAGCAAAGTCCGTTGCAGTCGTTCACCAGTTCGCTGTCGGAGTCGCGAAAGGCTTCTCTTGGTTCGCAATCGCGAATTTCTTCGCACCCTTCGAAATGGCTAACAGAGTCTCGCCATTCCCAGACTTACTCAACCACGATCAATTCGAGTCCAAGAAAGACTCGATTGAGAGGAGAATTTTCATCTCCGTCTCCAATTGATTCTCATGGTTCGTCTTCTTCCTCTCAAGCCGTTTTTCTGCGTGCGCAAACAATTTCTTCTGGTCCTCTGTCTTCGACGCAAGCAGAAGTCCCCAGTTCGCAGGTTTCTTCAATCACCGGATCTCACAGCTCATCCTCTCTTTTCATCGCATCAGAAAAGGGATCTCCAGGGACTCCAACAACAATAAACACAGAATGAAACCGGTTGTACCTTCAGTTAAGGAAACAGACCCTAAAGAGGAAAGCAATGAGAAATCTTCAGTTAATCTTGGACCTGAAGCTGGAGCAATTACTCATTCCCTCAAGTGTGACAACCTCTCCAGCCTGAATAACAGCAGCAAAGATTGGAGTTCTTTTAGAGAAAGCAAACTTCCTTCATCTGACAGGCAAGGATGGAACCAAAGAATTGTGGCTGAATTTGGTGACATAGGAGCTGAATTTTTATTCTCATCCGCAAAGTGTTGCTTGGTTACTATGTTGCTTCATACTAGCAAAGATTGTGCCATTTTAGTGATATCCGGGGGTTGCCCACTCTCTGTTTTAAGACACCAGGTGAAAAGGGACTCTCCTTTCGAGGAACGTGCAGTGGCAGAGAGATTTTGGTGGAGTAGCTCTATAGGAGTTGTTTGGTGGAATGATGTGGGGTGTACTCCAAGTGCAGCGGAGGATGGCATTGTTTTACTAAAAAGCATCATGGCAGTCAATTATAATTCAATGGGAGAAAAGTCAAATGGAGTTGAAGCAAATTGTAGTTCAAAAATTTCTGATGAGCAGATTAGAGTGGATGAGAACCCTGATGTTCAGAACATGAACACAATTTTTGCTAATGTTGCAAGTATTATACCTCAGGAAAGCATAAACATATTTGTGGCTATTGAAGGCCTGAAGACTAAGGAAGAAAATGAAAATTCACCAGAGATAATATATGCTGCAGAAACATCTGTGAATTGGAAAAAATAAGTATGGAAGCTCTTTTCTCAGAAATCAGTTAGATATTGGGAAGGTAGAAGCACCAGGATGAAGAGGAAGCAGAAGATCATGGCTACTTCCTATTACCCACCTTGAGGGCAAGGTGGATGTTTAGGGGGGGAATATTCTTAGGGACCTACATAGAATAATAATAAATGAGAATAAGAATAATATTAGAATAGTGAATATAAATACAGGTGGAGGGTAGAATAGAAGGTAGGCTGTTTTGACTCTTAAGTCTGTACTGGGAAGATCAGAGTACTATTTCTATCTTTTGGGGGCTTCGGCCATTGTTGCCTATTCAATAAAAGTTGCCTTTTGTGTTCTTGATCAATTTCTGCGAACTGTTAGTATTATTTTGTATTGTTCTATGACTTCTATCAAAGACTTTTTAGGACATAGGAAGTATTTGCTACTGGATTGATGTCCCTTGCTACATACACTAAAATACCAAATGTTCTCTTCATTACAGGGTTTTGTTATGTTTAAAGCGGTCTTTGAGAATTGCGAATGCTGCTCAGCAGATGGCAAATGTTACAAGAGGCAGTAGTGGGCCTGTCACTTTATTTGTTGAAATTCTTAACAAGTAAGACAATAGCTGCAGCAAGTATTATCAACTTCTGACTTCTTCTCAGTTTAGGCTGCATTTCCATACTCTAATAGTCTGTTCAGATGGAGGGGGTTGGAGGGTAAGCCTGGATGGCTCAGTCTATTTCTTGATAAATAGAATGTTTAAAAAACGAATAGTGGTGATTGAAATATTGTTATATCGTTAGTTGTGTTATTCTTTCATTTTTCATAAAATCTTAAAATATATCCAGATTGAAGATATACACTTACCCTCCAAAAATTAACTCACAAAATGACCCCAGAATCTGTTTGGATGTAGGGCTTAGTTTATATCTTGATAAATATAGTACTTCGAGGGTAAGCCTGGATGGTTCAGTCTATTTCTTGATAAATAGAATGTTTCAAAAACGAATAGTGGTGATTGAAATATTGTTATATCGTTAGTTGTGTTATTCTTTCATTTTTCATAAAATCTTAAAATATATCCAGATTGAAGATATACACTTACCCTCCAAACCTCCAAAAATTAACTCACAAAATGACCCCAGAATCTGTTTGGATGTAGGGCTTAGCTTATATCTTGATAAATATAGTACTTCGAAAACAAAACAAAAGTGCGATTGAAATGTTTCATGGTTCAATTTTTATAAAATCTCAAACATTGAATAAGCCCTTTAAAATCCCTCCAAAAATCTCCATAAAAATTAACTCACAAAATGACCCCAGAATCTGTTTGGATGTAGGGCTTAGCTTATATCTTGATAAATATAGTACTTCGAAAACAAAACGAAAGTGTGATTGAAATGTTTCATGGTTCAATTTTTATAAAATCTCAAACATTGAATAAGTCCTTTAAAATCCCTCCAAAAATCTCCATCCCAACTGATGCTAAACCCCCATTTTATGTGTTCCAGGTACCTCTATTATTTTGAAAAGGGAAATCCTCAAATCACCTCTGCCGCAATTCAAAGCCTTATTGAGTTGATTAAAGCAGAGATGGAGAATGACAACATGACAGCTAATCCATCTTGTGACCCTTTCTTTGCCAGCACATTGCGGTATATTCAATTTCAAAAACAAAAGGGTGGGGTAATGGGTGAGAAATATGATCCAATCAAGTTGTCATAGTCGGATAGGCGGTTTTAGCATGGAAATTTGTGTAAAAACCATGATTTTGATATTACTATTTATCTCTGTAAAATCCTATACTTCCTGGAAAGAAATAAAGAAATGTTTTAAAAAAAGAAATTCCCCTCTAATTTTTAATTTGGTTTTGGTGAAAAGTGTGTACTGATTGTCACAAGAAGATTTCAGGAACAATACTTCTTTCTCGAGTTTTCATTCCCAAATAAATACAATAACAGGTATTGAACTATTGGTTGATGTTCTTTGGATCTCAGGATGTCATGTTTTTTCAGCGATTCCATTGCCAGGGACTGTATTGTTCTATTCCTAAGAACATAAAAAACTGATTTGAGCAATTGAGCCTTTGAGGGCTTTTGAGTTCCATCACAAAGTTCCTACTCTGTCAGAGATAAAACTATGATGATCAAACCCATAGTGTAACACACTAACACATCAAAATGTTCCAAGGAAAAGTGATTCGTAAGATTTGAATCCTTACGTGCACCATCCATAATATTTATGGGGTGTTTGGCATTCGTTCTGAATCTGTTTCTTTTTTACAAGATTAGACTGTAAAAATTACTGTATGAGAGACTGATCCCCTTTTAATGTGTTTGGCACTGCTTGTGTCATAGGAAAATCACTTCTGGGTGGTTGAATAACTTGTTTAAAATTGGCTCTTGCATGAAGTGACAAGAAAAGAAAATTAGCATACGGAGTATGATTTAATGTGATCAAATAAGACTGATAGAACAATACAAAAACTTGTGTAAATACAAAATATTTACTATCACAGATAATTACTACTTACTACAAAAATGAAAAAATCATCTCATATACGGAGTAAGATTTAATCTAAACTCAATAATGTGATTGTAAATATTTTGCGTTCCTAATAATTTAGTATATTGTTCAAAGAAGAGATGCACTTTTGATCTTTTAACGATATATGACCGATAATATTATTTTGATATAATTTGTTTTGGATTTTACAAATGAATTTTATTTAAGTAATAGTGATACATAAGTTTTATTGAATTTGAAAATTGATGGAATTCTTATGAAAAACAAAACGAAAAAGTGGACAATTAGTATGTATGTTTGTGCACTTTGTTTGCCAATTCAAATTCTAAATATCAAAACTTGTGTATGTTTGACAATTAACTAAATTATATACATAAACTTGGGGAAAAGGTGCAAATAGGCTCATGTACTAACCAAAAAAGGTCAAATAAGTCCTTATTTAGGAGGTTCTGTCCGGCTGTCATCATTTGGGGTGGTTCCTGGTGGATTTTTTTAATGAATTTTTTTGAGAATCTTATTCATTAAGTCTAGTTTACTCATACAAAATTTCAGCTAAAATTTCAATCGGGAAGGCATTCAAATGAATTCTTGAAAATAACTGCACACTTAGAAGCGCAGTTATCTTCAAGAATTCATTTGAATGCCTTCCCGATTGAAGTTTTAGCTGAAATTTGATATGAGTAAATTAGATTTGATGAATAATATGCTAAAAAAAATTCATCAAAAAAATCCACCGGGAATCACCCCAAATGACGACGGCCGGACAGAACTTCCTAAATAAGGGCTTATTTGACTTTTTTTTGTTAGTACATATGCCTATTTGCACCTTTTCCCCATAAACTTGTATCCAATAACCCTTGAAGTTATATGTATTACACTTTTTATTCTTACGAAATTTAAATTGTTTAGTTGAGTTCAACATAATTCATATTAAATAATCACACACACGTATAGTAATCTTCCTGTTAAATCTTTGTTGCGTATATTGTCAGGGGCAACTTTAAATTTTTATGGGAGCAATCTCGTAATTAAAAAGAAAATCACTAAAACAGCTATATTGAAAATGGAAAATTTATTGGGAACAAGTGCCCCCCATGGCCCCATTACACAAAGAAAAGGCTTCTGAGATGTTATTTGAACATTTCAAAACTCAAAGTTGCTTTTAAATGCATCCTACACGGCTACACCCCTTCCCTTCAAGGCCCCAACTAAACATTACAACAACCATCAAACTTTAATTTCAAAAGACTTTGTGGTTGACTAACACAAATTGATACATTATATCGGATTCAAAAGAAAAGAAAGATAAAAAGCTAAGGTAAGGTATGAAAAAAAGATGCACTGAATATAAAGATAAATATAAGAGAGAAGAATGGTAGATAAAAAGAATATATAAAAAATAAAAAATGATGAAAGGATAAAAAACATAAGGAAGATAAAAGGATAAAAAAAGATAATTATCCCCAAGTTTATGTATATAATTAAAAAAGTAAAAACTGTGTGATTAAAATTTGTGCAGAGGAGAGATAATTATCTTTAACCACATATTCCTTACTTTAAATGGAAATGACAAATCCTTTTAGGACATATAAAAAAAGGAAATTTGACCAACCTTTTCGGGACAGAAGGAGTATCATATTGTTTATCTTGCCAAACTAGTACTAAAGTATACTCTATATTTCAATTCTACCCTTACTATAATTTAATAGGAATGAAGTCATTGTTGAGGTTTATTCCTTCAACCCTCGGGTTCAACACGTAAGCCCAAGACTTTCGAGTGGAGTGTGTACGAATAATCTAGTCCAACTAACAAGTTAAATGGATTAAGAAACAACGAGTAGCAAGTAAGAGATTATGTATTATTAATCAGTTAATAACTCCCCAGTACAATACTTTTTGCTAAGGCTCGTCGATCGTTTGTCTTACAAGGCAGTAGAGGAGTTGCGAGTAAGAATGCTATAAGCTAGAATGCTAAGAATAGTAAGTTGCCAACCCTTTACAATGAAATAAATGCTGCTATTTATACTACCAATGGGCAGCTGGCTATGCTGTCGTGGAGGACTGTGAGTGGCTGCTGCTCCAACCACCAAATCTCCAGCATTAAATGCGCTTCCCGCCAGGATCTGGGTTTCCTGCCTAATTAGTGGGGACGTTCGTCTAGCTGGGGGAAGTGAGTTGCTCCTGGTGATATCGCAAAGGGTATTGGGCCGTTCGTACCCTGGCCCTTGGGGGATTTGTCATATGGATTGGATTGCCTCCAGTGGTTATGGACTTATGGGCTTGATCCGATGACGTTCGTCGTCATCTTTGTGGCCTGTGGGCCTGATTCACTGTCAACTGTGTGGATGTTCGTCGGAATGGGCTGGTAAGCCAAGGTCTTGGTTACGACGTTCGTTTTTGCCAACTCCCCTGTTAACTTAGCCCACCCAGAGTCCTGTCTGGACGTTCGTCCGAGTGAGGGGGTAAATGGGCCGGCCCCTGTTTGGGCCATTAACCCAACAATCATATTTTAATTTGTAATAAAAAATTAAAAACAAAAATAAAAAATTTAATTTATAATACAATTGGAAAAATAATAAAAAAATATTTTAATCTATAATACAATTGTAAAAAAATTTACAAATTTTTAAAAAATTCAAATAAAATACTAATACAAACTAAAAAAATTATTTTCCGTAAAGAATAAAAACTTTAAAAAAACATATAAAAATATTTAAAAAAAATATGGAGGTCTTTCCAACAGTCTTTGTCACCTCGTTCCGATGCCACCTCCGATTAATGAAAAATGTCATTTTTTGTAAAAATTTTCATTTTCTCTATTACAATGCCATTTTCTCTTTGATCATTTCTTATTGTTAGTAGGAAGGACCGAAGGAGGTAGTAATTGTCATTTTTCTAATTTTTTTTATTTTTAATAATACATAGTACTCCGTATTATTTAATATTTACTTTTTTTTTAATTTTATTATGAATAAAGTTATTTTATTACATTTGTGTTTAAACATTAATGAAATATGAATTGTATTAAAGCAAATAAAGAATAGGATTAGTCCTATTGAAAAGGTAGTCGTATTTATGGAATTTAAAAATTATACCTATATTATTGGAAATAAAATTTCATTTTGTCATATTTGAGGAATTACCCCTAAATTAAATTTATATGATAAAAAAGTGTTCTATTTGGGGAAAAAACTATTTAAGATATGGTATACATATGTCGGGTGGTACGCTTGTCAAACAAACATTTGCAGCCGAGTGGGTTCGTTGTGCGTATTGGTTTGGCCGGTGAGCAGGGATCAAATACCTGTGGTGGTGGCAGCCTGGTAATCCGCTACTCCCCTAGTAAATAAGGAAATTAAAAAAAAATCAAAAAGTAAAAGAGATAAAAGGTGAGGATTACCTGCTATTAAAGGTTACTAACAGGTATTTAGGGTCAATTGATTGTTTTTGTAGAGTAAGTGTAGTGTTTAGATTAGGCCTGGGCTCGGGCCGGGCGGCCCGACCCGGAACCGGCCCGGCCCGGCCACTGTAGCAACCGGCCCGGCCCGGTGGCCCGGTCCACCGGCGGTTCGGGTCGAACCGGCCAGGTGGTTTCCGGTTCCGGGCCCGGGCCTTCCATATGGTGAACCGGCCCGGCCGGTTCGGGCCCGGTCCGGGCCGGAAATAATTTTTTTTTTTATTTTTTTTTGAAAATTTTTTATGTTTTGGGTTAGATTAGGTATTTTGGTCCATTTGAGGTGGTTTGGGGTTGAGAAAGAGGGGTAGGGGATTAAATAAAGAAGCCAAAAAAAAAAAAATAGGGCGGGTGGCCCGGCCCGGAACCGGCCCTGTCTGGCCCGGAACCGGCCACCCCCGGTTCGGGCTCGGGCCCCTCATATTCTGAACCGAGGCCCGGCCGGGCCCAGGCCCGAGGCCCGAACCGGCCCAGTTCAGTCCACCCCTAGTTTAGATGATGTTTTTTATAGTACATGAGTCTAAGTGATCATTCTGCAATTGTACATGAGTGTATTTGACTTTTTTTCCTAAAATATATAAACTATTTAAAAATATAATAACTAAAATCATTGTTCAAAGTTTATCCATATTGACCAAGAAAAGATAATTTGACGAACTTTTTCGGAACGGAGGTAGTATATAGTAGACTTAATTTGATTATCAAAAGCTACATACCCACAAAAAAATGATAGACAAGTCGGAAATAGAAAGTACCAAATGGATTCATAATCAGTTAATATCATGAAAAAATCTAAATCTCTCTCCTCCCTTGCGGTGAGCCATCCATACACCTCCAAAATGGATGAATTACCTAATTATGAACTTCTTTCTAATTGACGATATTGTGATTTGTGGTCTTTTAAGTTTGTGATGGGATCATTATAATTCTTCTTGCTTTTATCTTGTTTTTAATGATATCCACATACTACGGAGTAAGATCAGGAGATGATAACCAACTACCAAGAGAGTTATATCAATTCAATGGATCCCAACAACTCCCGATATGGAGGAACGAAACTAAATAAGAAAAGAATTAAACTAATCCTATTAGTTCGAATGATTCAGAATTACATTTCTGTTCGACATATATTATCTTCCATGTCGTTCATTAATAATTAATACGTAGTATACATTTAGATCAAATGAGAACGCAATTTACATTTAGAATTACATTTAGTATACATTAATAATTAATGTATACTCCCTCCGTCCCCTTTTAAATGTCCCGTTTTACCATATTGGGATGTCCCTATTTAATTGCCTCATACCTTATTTGGTAAACTTTGTGTGGCTCAAAATCATTCTTACTTTATTCTTACTTTATCAATTA